CCCAGGTCTCTCAGCCTTTCCTCATAAGAGGTGCTCCAGTCCCTTTATCATCCTGGCAGACCTCCGCTGGAGTCTCTCCCATAGTTCCCTGGGGAGATACTGGAGAGCTCCCAATTGGGGAAGAAAGGGGACAGCAGAAAATCAGATTTCACCAAAGATCCATGTACAGTGTGTTTCATTAATCTGAGAAAAAACCATGCATTTACTGTTGCCCAAGTGGACACTCAAGCAGGGCTATACAGTACAGTATAGTAAAAATTAAATTGTTGTATTTCCTTCCTTCTCTTGTAGATAAATCTGGCGGGTGGGTAACCACGTTGCGGCACACTCTGATTTACCTGTATTCATTGACTTCACCCTGTGAACTTTCATTCGCTGATTTAGTAGATTGTCCTGGTTTGACTGGGATGGAATCCCAGCCCAGCCATGCTGGTCAGGCTGTTGGCAGTTTCAAGCCAGCCAGGGCAGCTGACCCGAGCTACCTACAGGGGTAGCCCATCCCATAATGTCATGGTCATTGTAAAGGGGGAAGGTTTGCTGAGGAGAGTGAGCTTCTGCAGGGCTCCTGCTGGGAACCCTCCTGCTCCTTCTCCGGTTTCTCCTGTTCCCGAGGATTGTGGTGGCTGCATGTTCATTTGGCTCAGTATAACTCTGTACACCCGTGTTGGTATTGGTGCTATTCCATAAAATCTGTTTTCACTTCAACCCATGGGTCTCCTCTCCTTTTCCTGATCCCCTTCCCTGGCTGGTGAGGGGTTGTTGGGTGATAGAGCAGCTGTTATAGTTTAGCCCCAGATATCAGCTAAATGTAGACATAGATGTATAGCAGATAAAATTGCACTTATTTGTTCAAATTGTTTGTCATTGGTGAGACTTCCTAGTACATTTTACTGTTTTGTCCAAATTCAAGATATGTTCATAAAGAAAACTAAGCAATTTTTTTTTGTTGTTGAAATAGAAAAATTCATAGTATAATTTAGGAATGGCTTTGATTTTTGTTAAAACTCTGCAAGAATAAAAATTTACACTTTTAGCTGGAGAAAAAAAAAAAAAAAAAAGAGCAGCACATGTCATTATTTTAAAGCAAGTATGCCTTTGCATTTAAATTTCTCTGACTTAGCAGACTGAGAATCACTTCTAACCCCCAAAAGTGAAGTGTGTTGCATAAAGAACAGAGTGGAACCTCATGAGTTATGGAACACTTTATTGTCTTAACAGGCAACCACCTGGAATAACTATTTTTACAAACTCATCAAGCTCCATCTGAAAATGTATTCTGTTGTTCTTACTTAGAGCTAAAAGAAACTCGTGCTGTTCACAAACTTTTTTTTAAATTTTCTTCAATTAATTGATTCCCCCCTAAATTGGGCTCCCTTCATCATTGTACACCATACTTTTAAACAATTATTCTGTCAGATTTAGCTTTCCTAGTCTCATCTAATACAGAGACTTTGAGGTGCTGGAGAGAGTGCAGAGAAGGGCAACAAAGCTGGTGAAAGGCCTAGAGAATAAGTCTTGTGAAGAGTGGCCGAGGGAACTGGGGCTGTTTAGCCTTAAGAAAAGGAGGCTGAGGGGAGACCTTATCGCTCTCTAGAACTACTCAAGAGGACATTGCAGAGAGGCAGGTGCTGGTCTCTTCTTACAGGTAATTAATGATAGAACAAGAGGGAACAGACTCAAGCTGCACCACGGCAGGTTTAGGCCTGACATTAGGAAAAAAATTTTCACTGAAAGGGTTGTCAGACATTGGAATGGGCTGCCCAGGGAGCTGGTTGAGTCACCATCCCTTATATGTGTTTAAAGGTCACTTAGATGTGGTGCTTGGAGATATGGTTTAGGGGTGTACTTGGGAGAGTAGGGTTGATGGTTGGACTTGATGATCTCAAAGGTCTTTTCCAACCTGAATGATTCTATGATTTTTATTTCCTCTTTGTCCCTGGTCGCTATAAGAACAAGTCTAAGCAAGGGCCTCTCTGCACCCCATTCCTTGGTACGGACTATAAACACCAGGCCTTATCACTGCTGGGAGCAGTCACTGTCTGGAAAAACAGGCTGCTGTTTCAGAAAGTGCCGTTAGTTAGAGGAGACTTAACTGAAAAGTTAAAGCACTAAAACAGAATCAGTTATGGTTTAGCCCAAAGCAGGACATGTATCTATTCAGGAGTTTCAATCCACTCTGTGAAAATTGTGTTCTGAGTCACAGAACGGCTGCAGGATTTCAGGATGTCACCTGGCCCAAACCCCTGCTCAGGCAGGGTCACCCAGAGCTGGTTGCCCTGGACTGTGTCCACAGGGCTTCTGAGGATCTCCAAAGAACGAGACCCCACCACCTCTCTGAGCAACCGTTTCAGCCTGTCTCCTACGTTACCAGAAAGCCTCTGCAAGATATGATCTGTATTTATAAAGAAAAGCCTATATGTGAGCAGTAAAAAACCAGTGTAGTTTCATGTTTACATTCTCTAAATTAAGGTTTATTCTGCTGTTTCATGGCCTGAACTGTAACGTTACGAGACAGCACCAAGCCCTTTGCCATTGTCCTTCCTCACACAAGTAGGGTAACGCTGCTGTTACCAATACTGCTGAACATATTCCAATCAGTGATGTCCACACAGAATTTCTAGCACTGTTAACTCTAAAACAAGCAAAGACTTGTCTAGATTTGAATATAAAGTGGAAGAAGCACCATCTGTCTTCACCATATCAGGGAATAAGTGCTATTCCCTGGACCATGTGGTCCTTACATGTGGTATTTTAGATAAGCAGTAAACCTCTTTAACAAAACAAATTTTACAGTTCAAGATACTGTTGAAATTTTCAAAGTAGCTAAGTAGTATTAACAATGTATCAGCAAGTGGTTAAAATAACAGAAGTTATTTGAAAACTAGGATATTGTCTATTTTAAGGAACAAAGAGCACAGGAACTACCAGCCTGAGAAAAGAGATGGCATTTCATACTAAATTAACATTAGACATTTACATAAAACTGAAGATTAATTTAAGAATTCTCAGTATCATAAAATACCTGATTAAGGACATTACCAGTTCTGTCAGACTAAAGCATTACTGAAAGTACAGACAAGATAAGTGCCTAATAAACCTTTTATATATACATACAGAAAACGTTTTCATAACCCAACTACCCAGAGATGACACAAATCTTTTGTTTCTGTAATTTTGTGAGATACTATTTGCTTTCTCTTGCAAGCATTGCAAGAGAACCTGGGAGTAGGGAATGCAACTTTCAGCAGATGGGAGGTAGCATTAAGCCTCTAAACACACCGACAATTTTTAAACTAAAAGTTATTACTATACAATATAATGTGCACTTCCTTCCCTCCCTTCAAACATTCTTTCAGTTAGACAAGATATTTTTTTCCTATTAATGTTTTACAAGAAAATACGTGGCATAAATAACTCCTTAAACTGATGAACATCGGCCAAACTGTAACTGACCCCGTGGTATCAAGAAGTTAGTCAGCCATGAAAAAGCAGCTCTGGTATCTTCTTTAACAGAGCCTGTTCTAGAACTGAAGCTCCTGCAAGAACCTGGAGAAAACCCGTGCCCCAAATTTCACTCTCTGGACCAAAATGCTGGATGCATCCGTTACCAGCCATCGTTCTGGGGACAGCAGGGGAATGGAAAGCAATGAACAAATTCAGAACGTACACACCTCTCCAGAACCAAGTGACAACTTGCAATTCCCAAGCTTATACTCCAAGCTTATGCTGCCCCTTATGCTTTTCCAGCAGTTTTTTGGCAGGCAGGGTCACGTTACACTTTTCACGCTTGAACTTTTTTTTGTGTGTTTTCACATGCTTTTGGAAAGCACGTTTATCTGTCGTGGAAAACTTACACCTTCTGCACTGCAGCTTTAAATGAGTCAGTAAGTGGCGCTTCAGGTGGCTGGACGTGCGGAAAGCAACAGCGCACTGCTCGCACTTGAACGGCTTCTCCCCTGTATGAATCCTCAGGTGTGGCTTCAAGTTTCCATTGTGGGCTGTGGAATAACCACACTCTTCACACGTGTATGTTTTGACAGGTAGCTGCTTTTGTTCGTAGAGACAACCAGCAGAGGTGCTTTCCTCACAAGAGTGTGAAGCCAGATGCTGTTTCAAGGACAGCCATTTGTTTGTGGAATAGTCACAGTTCCTGCACTTGAGGTGCTCCACGTCAAAATGCAGGACTCTGTGTCTCTTCAGGTGACTGGAAGTACGAAACTTCTTCTGGCAAACGCTGCAGCTGTAAGGTTTCTCACCCGTGTGAGTTCTTACATGTAGTTCAAGGTTGCTTAAAATGTAAGTAGCGTACTCGCACTCCGCGCACTGATAGAACCGCGGCTGACTTTGTGCTAACAGATCATTTTCTCTGCCCCTCTGGCCACCTGGTTGTACTCCACAGATTTCTGAACCCAGCAAGGAATGGATGTTGTTTGAACCTTCCGAGGAACCAAAATCTCTGTCTGGACACGTGCCTACACGCATTTCATGATGCAAGTCAAGATTCTCTGAACGGCTGCCTCCATAGAGGCAATGGCCAAACTCAAATCCATTCTTCGCATGAACAAGGCTGTGTCTCTGCAAATGGTTTGACGTTTTAAATGTCTTATTGCATTCGTTACATGCAAATGGTCTTTCATCTGTATGTATTTTTAGGTGCAGCTTGAAGTCGCTGTGAACAGCGGTAGCATAATTGCAGCGCTGGCACCTGTAGGTTTTGAATGCAGACAGACTGGAAGGCCACGTGTCCCTTAAGTTTTCCACAAATCTCTGATAAGCATCATCATCTTGAACTTGTGAACGAGGGGCCTTGGAGCTGAAGAGAGGTTCCTCTTTGCAAATCACAGTGTCCATTCTGTACGAATTCAGATGAACTTCTGATCTCCCAACAACAGGTAAGCTGTTGATTCCGTGGCTGTTTTCAGGGAATTTCTTTCCAGAGCACATTTTCTTATTGTCCCACGCATCACCCGCCTGCTCAAAGTCTACTGAAGCCAGCGTTCCCCCAGTGAGACAATCATTTACTTTACCAGAAAGAGACAGAGAAATATGGTCCTGGGAATCACCGTCAACTTTGCATATTTTGCTTTCATGATATTCATTGCTCTGATTCGTATAACCAGCAGCAGCAGCAGCCTTACGCTGTTCATGAAACTTCTTATGAAAGCTGAGATGTCCTCTAGTGTAAAACACTATGTTACACTCATCACATGTGTAATTCTTTAAAGGTCTCAGAGTTCTCTTTCTGCCACTTACAAAACCGAGTTGCTGCCCTTGGCATGTTTCTCTGGCTGCATGTAACCTTGTGTGCCTCTTTAACTCCGTGGTGCTTGTGAATGTCGACTGGCAGAACTCACAGGAATACGGTTTAGCCCCCGTGTGTATGTAGCTGTGCCTCACCATGCTTGCAAAATACAATGAGAAGAAGGTGCAAAACCTGCACTGGTACAGCTTGTACCCAGCATGCCAGTACATGTGATTTAACAGGTAGGACAAGCTAATGCTGGAGTAATCACACTGAGGACACTGGTAAGGTGGTCTCTCTTTATGTCCCTTCATGTGATGAATAAAAATCCTAGGATTTGATGAAGCAAAGACACAAATTTTGCAGGAAAAATTAACTGGCACACCCAGAGGTGTAAAGTCCCTTTTGATTTTGATGAAAAGTTTCTCGTATTTACTTTCTTTTTTCTCGGTCTCAGAGCTTCTTTCTTCAGATCCTCGCTGCCTAGCTTTTCTCGCGTTTATCCTATTTTTTCTTGCCTTTTGCAACCTAGTCATTTTCTTATGAAATTTAAGGTGATTCTTAAGGTTGACAGAAAAGAAAAAGGTTCTTTTACAAAAGCAGCATTTATATATTTTCTTATCTTTATGAGCTGAATGAACATGTTTCTTTAGATGTACACTGCACTTATACACAGAACTACAAAACCTGCACTTCAATCTTTCATTCTTCCTCATAGAACAAGAGGCTTTGGAAAGAGGCTTGATGGTCACACTGTTACTTAGCCAAGCTAAACCTTCCTTCTGGCTTTGGAATTCTTTTGGGCTTGCGTGAGGAGAAACAACATTTTGTGGCGGATATCTTTTTTTAGGAAAGGGCGTTAATGTCTTATCAATATGCTCTCCAGTAGTATTTGATTCAGCAGAAGTGGAAGCGTTCATCTCCGGCTTTCCTGTATCTTCTGGCAATTCCTCTGAAGAAGGAGAACACCCATTAAGAAGCAGAGCAGAACAATGACAGGTAAATGTTGGTTCTTCTTTCAAGCCATGTTCCAAAAGAGAACTCGGAGCTTCGTCTTCACATTCGCTTCTCTTTCTGTTGTTAGCTTCACTGTCTCCATTCTTTGAAGAATCAGGATCTACAGGGCGATAAAAAGTCACATGCATGACATTTCATACAATCACCAGTGTTCAATATTAATTGGTAGTAATAATCCCAAACTGCCTAATGACTTGCTTGCTCTTTGCTCCTTTTGCTTCCTTAATCGTTTCCTACCTCCGCTTCTTTCCTAATGTCTCTCTCCCCTCAGCATTTAAATAATGTTTTAAGAGAAGAAATCCTAGCTTGGAGCCTCCTCCTTTTCACTCAAAGCTCTGAGTTTCATACAACAACACTGCATGACCCCCCAGTTTATGCCAGAAGTCCTATGAAAGTACCGTCACCAAACTTCGCTAGGGCTCCACTCTCGCAAGTATGATGATGCTCCTGCTGTCTTCTGGCTGTTAGAAGGGAAAGTACTCTTAGCACTTCTCTATGCCTTTCTTCCTAAAGGACTTCCATCTGCTATAAGGACTGGTGCAGATTAAACCTAAACTATGCCTCTCCCAGACTCTGCATATACTGATGAGTTACTGCCTGTTGATCTTCCCTCCCAAGTATCTCTAACTGGGATAAACCCCCCTTTAACCTAAGTTTCTATTTTCAGATCCTTTTCCCTAATGAAAGGCTGCCCTTTTGCAAACTGCAGCAGAATGCAACAGCACCAATTTATTGTAGTTTCGCTATTTTTCACACAAGTCTGTGGAAGAACTAAAGATACACCAACCAATATTCTCTTTCTGCTTCATATAATATTTACCTATGTTGAAATGCTTGCTCTAAAATAAACGGTTTGGCATTCTTCCTACACACTTTCCTACCTATTTCAGAAACTTGAGATTTACCAGATTTCTTAAACTCCTGTCTTATTATCAAGTTACCTTCCATTTCAACAATCGTCTCCATCTCCTTGTGGATTTCTGGTTGCTCCTCTGGACTGCCATCACAAAGAACACTTGCAACACTGACAAGTTCCTCTTCACGTTTGGGTATCACTGCGGATGTCAACTCTCTGCTTGTCTTGATGGCATCACCTCTACCCTCACTGCCAGCAGAGGAGAGGAGAGGAGGAATCTGCTGAAGGCCACCATCACCATCACATTCTTTACAGTCACTGGTTTCATTCATCTCTATAAACTCTGTTTTGCAAGACGACGTAAGCAACACGTAATTTGGACCGTATCCACCCTTGCCTGCGTCGCATCGATCACATGGTTTGGAGCCATCACCCACGCCCTCAGCACAGCGCCTTCCTTCAGCACATTCCACACCATCGCCCTTGTTCAAAGCACTCTCGTCTCCTCCCCAAACGCTTAAGCTGTCACTGTCATTTGAAGAGGTCGCACCGCTTCTGAGGCCAACGCCCCTGCGGACGTGCCCCTCCTGCTCAGCCTCCTCCTTCAGCGACGTCGCGTCCATCTCAGCGTCACCTTGGGCAAAGTCGTCATCGCTCAGCACGAAGACGGTGATGGGGAGAACGATCTCAAAGACGTCCGGCTCTGATGACACAAAACAAGAGAGCATCGCTACCGCTCCTAAAACACCCGCAGCGATCGCGGACAACTGATAGGGGGCCATATAGAAAATATATTTTATAACCGAAGATATATCGAAAATATTAATAGGGAGCTACATAGAAAAAGCTAAAACTATTAAAACTTGCTTCCCAGAACTAACATGCGTGCAAGTAAGCAATGAGTCACTAAGCCCTGCAAACTGCTTGAGCAAGAAGCTGACAAGGGAAACAGAAAAGACAGAAACAAGACATAATTCATGGCTCAGAGGTGCCAAAGGCAGGAGGAGATAAGAGCTAAGGAGGGCTAGCTAACATCCATCTCTAAACAAGAGCAAAAAGGAGACAGACAGATGTGCACACCTGGACAGACCAGGCTGAAACCAGCCTGATACTGCAAGCTCAGCCAAATTAGAGATTCCAGGGGAGAGGTGGGGAGTACACAGCGAGGAAGACCTACGGCCTTCATCCCTGAAGACCCCTGCCCAGAACCACGCGCGGGGGGACGCCCGGGGGGGGGGGGGGGTGGGGAGTACGGAAACGAAGTGACCGGGAGGAACCGCCTTTTCGGGGACAGGTCACGGATGTGTACAGGCGTTTCGAAATAGGTGACGCTTTAACTGTATAAATCCTGGAGAAGGGGCCACGGCGGGGATGGCCGTTTGCGGCGGAGCGATCCCCCCTGCATCTCCGCGCAACAAACACACCTACTTTATAGCCTTTCGGGTTGTAAAGTCTTTCCCGCACGTCACCACCGA